GGGGGGAGTGAGCGAGCGGCTGTGTGGTGCTCAGTTGCCAGCTGGGGTTAAACCACGACAGACCAGCAATTGTTTCGCTTGACAGTCTGAAAGCTGGCTAGCTGGCGCTTGCCAAAATGAAGTGCTCGACTGTAATGCTGGTGCTCTGCTCTGAACTGGATCGGGAAGGCTTTGTGATAAAACTGATACATTAATGGAAACATTTCTGTTTGGCACAAACAGCAGCAGGTGCTCTGTTTCCAAGTGTTACGTGTATATGCTGTACTCCCTAGCATCACTGAAGCGGTTTCCCTTTGAAGATATATCTGTGTGCTATTTTGGCATGTCGTTCCCGTTGCATGGCCTTTAATAACTTCCTATACTCTTTGAAAAGATTTTCAGAAAGATCTGACTTGAATCTATCTTTTGGCAGATACTCCCTTCACCTATTTTTGTGAAGTTCCTTGTATTGTTGTTGTTATTCAAGGATTAATGGATCTTCCACTTTAGTTTGAACTTCTTCCATTCACTTTCCATAAAGATGTGACAAAAGAGAGGAGAAATGAAAGCTTTTCTTACTGTATTGCCCTTTGGAAGAATAAATGACCCTCTAATATGAAACTGAAATTTAAGGTGAGGTTTTCAAAGTGGAAGTCCAGTGTAAACAATCCTTCCCAGTCACGTTTCTGACATGTCTTCGCTGCTGAGGCAAAACAGCACACCCAGTTCAGATGGCTGTACTCATGTCTGGAAAAGAGCGGAGTGGTTAAGAACCTCACCTAATCATTTGAGGAATTTGTTGAATCACTTGGAGTCCAGCAGATATTCCCACCAGACCAAGTTGTCCTTGTGCTTGAAAAGGGAACCTGCCTAAACACATGAGGACTGTCTTCAGTTTGAGCACTAGTAATTCTGTCTGCCTGTTGGAATGATGCTTATTTGTTTGAGACTTGTACAGAGGGTCAAGGAGTTCAATATGCTTTACAGTTGTTAACAGGTACAAAGCTTCAGGTAGATGAAAGAGGTGGCAGAGATCTAGAAATAAAATTTTACGCTAAATGAGTTAACAATATTAACAATAACGTGATATTTTGAAGTGCCGTAAGTCAAGCTCTGTCTGTGAAATTTTTAGCAAAGGTTTCTGTAGGCTGATACAGTGAACGCTACAGTCATCTCGACTGTGTAAGGAAGGTAAATTTTTAGTGTAAGTATAGTCTTGATGTCTTGGTGTAGGCTACAGAGAGTGGGCCTTCTTTGATTAGCAGTGAGGGAGGAGGCATTTGTGGCAGTCACTGAGGGTAGAATCCTGGTGGTTAAATTGTTTGAACCGTTGAGTGCTTTACAGGAACTTTAGTTCTTCTAGATGTATTTGCCTTTCCACTTACAAATTCGCTGCACGTGACAGTTCACATCTCAGTAGAAGCTGATGTATTAAATCCGGTCTTTGTTTGCTGGATTTAAAAAGTGGAATCTGGGCAGAGTATCTTAAAGAACCACAGGCAGGGTGGATCGAATTACTTGTCTTTTTGCCTTTTTTTTTTCTTTTCTTTCTAGAGTGGTGTAGGGGGGTAGTATAACTAATATGCTGACAGTATTATTTGAAGTGGGAAAATAGGTGATATACCTCAACCTGGGGTACATAGTCTGTTACCTATTCAGAGCGTGAGCTAACACAAAGCAATCCATGGCTGAGTGAGCGTAATATTTAATTTACCTACCTACCACACATTGCTAAAAACCTCTATCATTAGCTCCCTCCTCTGACTGTCCACCACAGTGCTCCTAACTATCTGTACCTCGCTTATTTGCCTGATCTAACGGTATGAGGTCTGACCACTCATCACCCACCCTGTATCTGTCCCTTGGTGGAGCTTGCTAATAAGTGTTTTCCTCTTACCTATTTTATTTAACAAATTTTAATGAATGAAGTATGTTTAGGACCTCTACCCTTTTAGCAAAATTAGCTGAATGGTCCTACTGCTTTTGAAGTATTAATAAGGTTTACACAATAAATTGTCTCTTTTTCCTTAGGAAACCAAATTTTAAAAGGATTTGATTGTTCAAAGATTCCTATGAGATCTTTGAGAGTCCTTGCAGAACGAAATCACTTGTTTATATATGCTATTAGTTTATGTTTTTAAAAATGTGCTTTGTGTTTGATATCATACATGGATGTACTACTTTAACTAGCAAATGATATTTTAGCTTTTAGAGAGCAAGTAATATTTTTAGAATCAACATATCAAAAGGATTTATTTTTCAGTAAATTCTTGCATATTGTTTTCCTTCTCAGAGACTAATGCTCCATTTGGGCATGGTTCTTCTAGCTGCATGTGTGCTTAGCTTTCTCCTGTATTAGATTACAGAACTGTACTGGACATGTCCAGAAATCTGTGATAGACAGGTGCAAATTGCAAGTTAGCACTAAATTACATCACTGATTGTGCCTAGTCAGTGATACGAAATGTTCCAGGCTACTGAAAATATATTCAGCTGAGTTTTGCTAAAATTCAAAGGTAGGTTGTATGAAGAAATTTGAAAATGTTAGTGGGAAATCAGCATCATTTTCTGGCTGATGAGATGATTGCTGCCTATCCCATCAGGACAGGCACATTGCTGTGAGAAATGCTGTACAAACGTATTTCAAGGGAAGGATTATTTGCATGGTTTATGATCTTCCAAGAAAATACAGAATAAAAGCTAAGACAACATAAAAGTGCTGTACAGGGAGTTCCTCCTTGTAGTCTTTACAACAGCTACTATAATTGGACCCCATTTGGAGCTAGGTCTTTGGTCATTTCTGTAATTAAATATTAAGCTTGCCTTTAGAAAAACTTTTCTGACTTCAAGTATAAGGTTTTTTCTTGTTTTAACATTAAGAATATTAAAAAAATGAAGTGTAACTTCTGGGTTTGGAGTCAACACATCAGTTGTACAAATCATGCTGATAGAGGTTATTAATCTCTAGTCTTTCTTTGTGTGCATTCAATTTGCTCTATAGATAGATATTTGTAAGTAACTTTGCCTTTTTTCCCCCCTTCCAAGTAATTTGTTTCTTTATCTCTTTTTCTTTCTTTTAGAATTCTTCTCAATGTCCAACATCTATTTTTCTGTCCTGTTCCCTAACATCGTTTGGTTTCCCATCTTTTGAACTTGTGCATTTTCAGGCTGTTGTGTGTCCCTGGTGTAGTGTTGTTCCTGCTACACAGAGGAAAAAATGGGTGACTGCGTTCACCTCCAGGCTGGCTTTTATCTGAAGTTCTCAAAGGGGTATGATAACCTTTTGTGGCACCCAGGACTTCACTGTCCTCAGTGTAAATAAGAAGTGTGGTGGACATGGAAAGGTCATAGGAATTTTTAATGTGCACACACACACAAAATCTTATTTCTTTAAAAAACAATTGTTGTGAACCGGCAAAATTGAAGTCGGGTTGTGAAGGTGATTCTCTGATCCTAGGGTTAAGAAATAACATTAATGAAGGCCCTAGGAAGTGGCAGGAGATGGTGAAAGTACAGTAAAGGCAAGGTGTGAGGCTGGGTGCTAGGTTGTACCAAGCTTTGAAGACAACATGATGCCAGTGTTGTGTAACTATGAGAACATTCCCCCAGTTTTTAGCTGGGGGGGGACCAGTTCACCACACTTGTAGGAGACTTCCTGAATTATAACTATTATCGCATTAGCTGAATAAGTATGGAACATACATATTTTTTGTAGGTAAGAAATACAGCCTATATGGGAGTATTTCAGTGTCATGCACAGATAGCTTGATGACTCTTTTAGACTTTTATCATCAAATGTGAAATACCACTTGCTTATTTTCTTTAAAATACCTTTATGTATTACATCCTGCCTCAGTGGTACCTCGATTTGCCTGTAGAAGGTACTGGGTAGAATGAAAGTAGCATGTGGCAGCCAAGTCCTGCCCTTGCAGAATATAGGTTGAATTCCTAGGACTGCAGTAATGGTGTCGTTTGAGTTCTTTTACTTCTTTTAAAACTACTTTTAGCTTTGCAAGGTGGAAATACCCATAGGTAAAAGTAAATAAACAAATAAACCAGGAACTGCAAGTATTTAAGAATTACATTCTAGAAGGCTATGAGGAACACTTTTTTTTGTCTGCGTAATCTTGTTCTCTGTATTTTTTTTATTGTGAGGAATGATTGAGGAGCATCAGGAAAGAAATTTAGGGGGGATATTTTTTTCCACGCTCTGGTCCTGTTTTTCATAATCTCTTCACTACCAATTCCTGTCCTTCCTTTGTCCCCTCCTAAAACAAAATCAGTATATATATATATTTGAAAGATGTATGTTCAAATTTCCAAAATTAATTTTGAGAGTTAAATTGGAAATGGACAACTGATACTTTATTTTCATTTCAGTTTGAAAGTGATTCAGTTCTAACTTGCATAAAATATACCTTTTTTTCTTTTGCAGAGACGTGGAGCAATCTCCTATGACAGCTCTGATCAGACTGCGTTGTACATTCGTATGCTAGGTAAGCATAGCAGTTTCTATATTGCAGAGTTCTAACGTTTATGATTGATTTAAAATAATTATTTTTTTATATTTGAGTATTGAATTCTTAAACTTATGATTCCCTTTCTCCTGGATAATATTCTGGTTAGATTCTTTAGAAGAGTTTGGGTTCTTTTGTGTTGACTTGGGTTTTTTGGTTGTTTGCCTTTTTTCTTTTTTTTCCTAGTTAACCGTTGTGTCTGTTTTACTCCTATATTAAAAAAAAAAAAGTTCTTATAATTAATGTAATGTGTTTGGTAGAAGTTAAGTTTTCCAGGTGACTCATGATTGATCTTTATTTCTGTGATGGAATTTATCACCTCTGCGTGGTATCCTTCTGGTTAAAACTGTAGCTTAGAGAACATTTGTGTGAGAGTTACCACACACTTCTAAAAACTTCAATACTGCGTCTCTGAAATGTTCAAGGTGTTCTTAAAATAATTGTATGATTTTAAACAATACTTCTCTTATTAATCCTAGAAGATGACTTGAGAAGTGAAAGGACACATGACAGGGCCAGTAGTTTAGTCAACTTACTGAAGAATGTTTCCAGAGTAGCAACTAAATAAAGGGTAAAGCCGAATTAAAATGAAAGAAGAGTATTGGGAGGGGCAAGCACCTGGGGGAGACCTTCTGTGGTAGTGAGTGCATGGAGGGAGTTGAGGTCAGTCATTGAGGGGAGAAAGATGCAAAGCTCTTGCAGATCTGGCTGCCGGATTCAGTACTTCCCGCACCTCTTCTGGAGGCTGCCAGTGGTGCAGATGGCATGGGGACTGTGTATATACGCTGAGTCTGTTTCACTGCAAAATTATGCCACTTAATTTAAGCCATCTTGAGCTATGATTTTGTGTTGAAATGGACTATGAATGCTTGCATGATGTCTCGAATGGCTCAATGAACATCAACAGCTAGTGATTATAAATTCTTAACTGGCTCCAACTAAATCAGCCAGAACATGTCTTTTTATGCCCTGAGTCTTTTCAATTTAGTTGGGTATTGTACATATGAAAGTCCCCAGAAATTCATAACTGTGTTGTCTATGAATTTAAAGTCGTAAGCTATATGCATGTGTACACATGTGTGTATATATATGAATTTATAGTCACAACCTACGTATGTAGGCATACGTGTGCGTATGTATATATAAATCCAATTTTGACTTAGCATCTTTGCATTTTTGTTTTTCAATTATTTTGATTTTTTAAGTTTGTGAAGTTGTTAATACTATAGCACTGACTGTCTACAGAAGGATTTTTGATAAGAGAATGTAATTACTTTGGAGATTTAAGAGGAGGAGGACAGAAGATGCTGGCTTCTAAATGTTTATTGAAAAAGCTGCTGGTTTTTTTGTTGGAAATAGGTTTCTTTTATTTTCAAAAGTTTAAAATAACTTTTTCATTTTTAATCATCCTTCTTGCAGGATGAACACTAGAATTCTTCAAAATGGGATTTTTCTGCTCTAGTCATAAGAATAAGAAAGTAAATTCAGGCCTAAGGTAGTTTTGTTTCCTTCATTTTGTGATACTTTTTTTTTAAAAGCTAAATTTATTTTGTGCTGTAATTAGAAAATACAAATTTTTTTCTGCTTCAGAATCCTACAAATTGAGTACTTTCAATTCCACAACAGGGGAAATATGTATTAATTTATTTTAAAAAGGCACTGATATACTTGAATTAAAGTTACTGTAAGTATATGTGTGTTTATCTTTTTAAAATTAATCTGCTAGTGATAGAAACTCAGCTTGTAAGAAAATAATTCTTAATTTCTGGGGAGAATAGTCTGATTTCTTTTGCTACTTTGGAAGTTTAACTGTACCATGAAGTAGTTAGGCCCATCATTTCTGCAGAAGGGTTTGTGGTAATGCTCAAGAAATCTAGAGGAAAGCAAAGCATGACCTCCTGGGGTTCTTGGTATATAGACCTGAACTGAGGGAAAAATCTCACTTGTTTTGCAGTCTTTCTTTGACTATTCTCATAGGCGGAACTGGAATATATTCAGAACGTGATGTTAAGTAAATTAAATTTTCACTTGTTCTCTCACTGGAATTAATTACTGGACTATGTGATTGGTGCTTGTTACAAATAGCATAACTCTTGCTGGCATTTGTTGCTTTTCAATGATGCTAGCTATCCAGAGGCAGTAAGTCTTTTAAAGTATTGACCTCTTCTAACTTTGGCTGGGGGGAGGAGGGTACCAACAAGCAAACAAATATTGTTCATTGGATGTTTGAATCAGTATGTTAAATTTTTATTACTTTCTCACTTGTTGGTGATCGCTTTGTTTTCCCGAATGTTACGTACACTATACTGTACAAGTTAGCAACTATTTATAGATTTATTACTGTTGTATTTGTAAATGGACTGTAAAAAAGACCAGCCTGAAAGCTGAACAGTTGGACACATCGGTATGTAGAAACATTCATATCGGAGTAGATTCAAGAATGAATATATTCTGTTAGAATTTTTTGCAAGAAATGTGAAGTGTTGCATTGCCCATACAGTATTGTGAAGGTTTTGGTTTTTTTATTTATCTTAGTACACTTTAGCAGAGTAAGCTGTGAGGAATCCTCAGCTGTAACTCAATGGGAAGTTAGGCACAGTCATGAGACGTTTTGCCTTTTACTTGGTTGGTTATTATTCCAAACAGACTGTATCTACTAATAAAATGTACCTCGATAAGGTGCTTATTTTAGCAGACCAAAAATATAAAGCTAATGGTATCTAGGACACCTCCCTCTGCCTCTGTTTAGTTGTGCTGGCTGTAGAGTTGCTTCCTTTTTATGTTTTCAGGGTGTTCCAATGGGAATCTAATGCAAATTCATTTGCACCAAGTAAATAGAAATTCCTGTGGTATGGCAGTGTTTCCAGGTTCAATTTAAAAGATCAAATTTTAGGGGCACACAAAATAAACAACTGTCTTCATCAGTATTGATATAAACAAACAGCATTGAGTCTAATGACTCATCTGTCATACCCCATTCCCAAAATATACACTGAGCCACTCCCGAGTGGCTTATTTACTATTTTTAAAATATAGATACAGATGCGGCATTGTAGAATTTTTCTTTTAAGACCTTGGAAGGGCTAATATATCTGCATCACCTCAGTCAGCTACTTCTCTCAGCAGCTATGAGGAATTCTCAAAATTTCTTGTAAGTGCTTCTGTGTAATCTTGATACTTTATTGATTTTTCTCTTCTTTGCTCTTCTGGTTTCTTGTTGTTTTATATTGCCTGCAAGTTTTGCTACTGTGCATGGGGTAGAAAGAGTGGGGCGCTGACTGCTTGCATCGGTGAGCATGCACCTCTCAACTAAAACTGGAGGATTTTACCCTCCTTTAGAGGTCTTGATCACTTCAAATAGGAAATAGTGGAGGCCAGCTACTGTGTAATGCAGGTGCACGCTCTTCTCCGGTAGCGGTTGTTATGTTGTATTCCTTTTGCTTTAATTCCGGAATATTCGGCTGACCTGTCATCTGTTTCTCCAACAAATTTAATAGGAACTTTAATCTGTGAAGCTAGTAATTCTTTCTGGAAATCCTGCTCTCCACAACTTCATGGCTTTGGCTTGGGTGGTTTACCTTGAGGTGGCTGTCGTAATTTCTGCTCCCAGCTGTCCTCCGTGATCTCTGAGATTTCTGCCCCTGCTCCAGAAGGCCTCAGCTCCCCAAGCAGCTGCTGCATTGTTACTGTGCCACACTGGAGTGTTAGGGTAGCACGAAGTATGTGCTGTGTAACCCTAATGCCCAGGGATGTCAGCTATGGCATTTCAGCTGCCTCGTAAGTATCAGAGCTGTCCTTGCGGTGTGAGCAGGAATCTGAGAGGGGTGGGAACTAAATGATCTGTCTCAAGGTAAGTTTTGTTACAGCCCTGATTCCTTTTCAGCTTTCAGTTGTAGCTGCAAACCTCCCTCTTACATTCCTTCTTCCACTATTTATTCAGTCTTCAATTGAGTTTCTGCCTGTATGGCCTTTGTCTTAAAAAATGCAAGCAATCCTGGTCACGTAGAACTATTCTGGAAAAAAATCTGTTGGCTGAGTATTTAACTAGATATTTTGTCATGTTTGTGCACAAAATCAGATTTTGAAAGGAAGGCTTCACGTTTTTTAAATCTTTCTCTTGATTCTTTGGATTTACAGAAACTCTCAAAGAGGGAAAAAAATTGTTCCTGGAAGTCCACTGTCATTAAGATGCTGAACGTTAAGGTGTTCCCCTTAGGAAACAGGAGTCTTTTCAGAGTGGCTAAAGAAGAGACACTTAAGATAAAAATTGTCAGCTTGCTACCACTTCCGCCCCCCCTCCCCCGCAAGGGAATTTACCTATAAGCAAATGGTGCGATCCGATGGTTTCAAAAGGTTTTGTAACCACTTTGATATTTTTTTAAAAGGCCTAAATAAATGAAAACTATTCATAAGTTCTTTTGTTTTAGGTGTTGAATTTTAATTATCTTTCAGCTACCATAATAACGATTGGCTCTGAGGTTGGACTTCTGTTGCTGTTTGAAGGAATTATGTAACAGTGTCTTTTTGTCTGATAAAAGTAATCTTAAATCTGAAATGTCTTGTGCCTTTTTTTAAGTTACCTATGATAATAAACATGTGTCTTCCTTAAAATTAAATTCTGTATCATTTCAGAGTCATAGGGTTACAAAAACTTGTGCAGGATTTCCCGAGCAAATCGATGCGAGTATGTTATGTTGTGTGCAAGCACAATGAAGTGGGTGCATTTGGGATCTACTGATCTTTGCAGGTCAGATTAACTGGACAATGAATGCATAACGATGGTCCAGTATTTCTGGATGTTTTGGGACTAACTATACATATGCAGTAGAAATTAATTTCACTGTGCTAATAGCACATCATTTCATAATGTGCTAATGTGCAGCCAGTTTAATGCTATTCCTTTTTATGCTTCTATATACATAGAAACTTCAGACGGACGTATGGTATCTTCAAATTCCACTCGTACCAATTTTTTCCAAGCACATTTATTGTCTGAAATCTTGAAAAGTAGTTCTGTACAATGATAATGGAGACAGCTCTTCTGCCTTTTTGGCTCAACAGGAATTTCTACTTTGTTTACTGTGATAAATTCCAGTCCTGTAGAAGTGTTCCCCCCCCCCATCATCCACTGTGAGATCTGGATTCTTAACAAAATACCCTCTGCTTCTACCATGATCAAGGTAAACTATTTAATGAAAATATTTTGCTTTCCTTACTGGGAATTTCTCATTTCATATATACGCAAGTAAATACCCTCATTTTACCTTTATGCTATTGCAATTGCCTTTTTAATAGTTTGCCATGTGCATTTTTAGTATATCATTTCTTCTCTTGGCTAACTATTCCTGTAAATAGACATTTTAATAATTCCTTTTAAAAGCAGTATAGTTAGTTGCACTTCTGCATTTCACTTGTAGACAATTTTTCTTGTTTTCCTACTCAAAATCCACAACATTGTGGGCATTTGAAGGGTTACAGGGATATTCTATCTATGCTGTTAGACTAGGTACTAGTAAATAAAAAAGAACAAAGCAGAGAGAAATTTTCTGGATATCTGCTTGTTTTGTTATTTGCAGAATTCCATGTTAGTCTTGAGGTATTTTTCTGTGAACTTTTCCTATTCTTGACACTTTGAACAAGTAATATTGTTCACCAAAACCTAGTAGTACACTGACTGAAACTATTTGCTAATTCACGTTATGGTTGGTAAATTCTGAAAGCTAAGACTGCCTTGAAAACTAAATAAAATTCAGAAAAGTTGTATCACCTTTTCCGTAAAAAATTAGCTCAACTAAAAAAACCTTTTATTTTTCTTTTAATTCAGCTGGTGAACTCATTCACATAGCTGTAGCTATGACTGATTTCCCAGATAAATGAGTGAAAGGTAATAAAAGTTGCATTTTCCTCCGTGTAAACTGATATTTTCATACACAGCTACTAATGCATTTGCTTCCTCTTTTCCAAAATTTCCTCCCTTTTTCCTTTTTATTAATTTATTTTGTAAATAAAGTTCACCAGTTGCTTGTGCCTAACAGAAGAGTTCTACAATTTGCTGCCTCTGTATTGCCTGGAACAAGACAAGCCTCTTGCACTCTGCTCAGATGAATGCTTGAAACCTTTATAAGTAATATATTGTCAGTGGTCTGAAAAATAATATTTACAGGAAGTAATTGGGTTACTTTCCCTTGCAGCTCTGTTAAGGTTTTCAGTTTCAAAAAAACAAAAGGAGTAATAACTGAAAACCACATGTATTTGGTATGTTTTTACTGATATGTAAACTTTAGACTCATTATTTGGGGAGCCCTGGGCCTACTTATCTTTTTGTGGTCCTTCCAGCATGCCTCACGAGGTAACAGTCATGTGAAGTGTGTCGCTATAGATATGTCAGTGTTTATAGATACGTATCTCTAGAAAGATACCTGTTCAGTATTAAAAGTATATTACTGAAGTTTTAGTAGCTTTAGCTATTTTCTGACAAGTTGTGCCTGCTTCGGCATTACAAATTAGTAGGTTGGAGAAGAAAAGGAAAAAACACTCTCAAGATGTCATCAGTTGCTGGAAATTAAATAGCTATATTTTTATTTTGTTCTTATAAAATCAGTCTGAGTTCCTGGTGTTAAATACTTAGTTTTGATTCATGTGAAAATCACTGTGTTTGAGGAGAGGAGAATATGACACTAGAAGGATTTTCATAATTGGAAACCAGAACATTTTCACATCTTAGATTTCACTTTTGTGTTAAGTTTTGAGGAGGGAAACACTATTGCATTTGATCCTCAAAGGTTTGCCCAAATTTGTAATTGCTAAAGGATTTTAAGTGAAAGCTTTTAATCCAGCTGAACTACTTCCATTAATGCATACAAATACCTAACGAAAGAATACTGATCAGCTTTCAGTTGGTAAAATGCATAAGTAGAAATCAACTAGCATGCTAAAAGATTCAGGTTGAAGCTAATTGCAGTGCAAAACAGTCTGATAAAATTTTAATACTGAGTTTTGGTATTTTAATAGGCTCTTGTGTAATATTCAAACAGCTGAGCACAAGTAAGTAAATGCTAGTGGGAAATTATTCTATTATGTAATATAAAACCATGTTGTAACTAGCTTATTTGCTAAAAGCTACCATTTCTAGAAGCTGAATCTTTTTTGTATTATACAAAATGTTATCGTTTTATGTGTGTTACTGAGGAACAAATCAACTTTTAATGTTCTTGTTTCCTGTCATATTAAGGTGCATTTTTACCATACTGGTGTAGCAAGCTGTTCCTAATTTCATCTGAATGCTTATCACATGCTTCTGGCAACGTATGTTTAGGCAGGAGAGATTTTGACAAGAAAGCATGCAATTGCATGTTTAACAAGTCTTCAAACTTTGTTTTGAATTTCACCTTTTAAAAAAAAAAAAAAGCGTTGAAGTAGGCCTATTGTTTGAATAACCCTCCTCCATTAAGTACATGAATCTTTACCCCTCCAGGCTATGTTCATTTGCATTTTATCTCTGCCACTCTTCCACACTTTTATTTCACTCTTGACCCTGTTTCTAGGAGATGTACGAGTAAGAAGTCGGGCAGGATTTGAAACAGAGAGAAGAGGTTCTCATCCATACATTGATTTCCGTATTTTTCACTGTAAGTATTTAAAAGCAGATAAATGACAAATAAACAAAGGCTTCCATTAATTTTACCTACTGAGCCTCTAAAAATAAAGTTAGCAGCTTATATAGCAAGACCATTTTTTTATACTTAAGAAAATCTTTCATGCTACTTCATTACCAAAAATAGAAGAGGAAAATCTTCACTGCTAAATTTTTGTTTTTAAAAATATAGTTTAAACTCATTGAATTTAGACCTGAATCCCTATGGAAATGGAGACTATCTTATATACAGCTACTGATGTGTGTGCTGAGTTCTTACTTGGCAGACACAATCAGTTGAGAAGAATACTTTCCTGCTTTTATAAAGCAGCAGAAGGGCCTGGTCCAGGATGATGTTTGAAGAGAATTACAGTAGATGTCAGTATTCTTGACCTTATCATAATCAATTAACATTACATTTACTCAAACATGTAGCTAGGACTTAAAATTTTTTGGACATAGACAAATCTTAAATAAAGATTAAAGTGTTATAAGAAAAGAGCAGAGTAAATTTTTTTTACATGTTTTAGGAAAAATTTTTTCTCAAAAGTGTTACAAGAAGAATATTTTTGGATAATTTAACTTTTTTATCTACATCTATATTGTTATAACTAAATATGTCAGTAGTTGTTGTAATATAAAAGCTTCAATAACCACCAAACCAATATGCAGCAAAAGTGCAGAGGATTTAAGTCTTAATTAAATTATGCCAATAATATTAATACATTAAGTGTCATAAAGTATCAAAAGTGTTACAAGAAGAATATTTTTGGATAATTTAACTTTTTTATCTACATCTATATTGTTATAACTAAATATGTCAGTAGTTGTTGTAATATAAAAGCTTCAATAACCACCAAACCAATATGCAGCAAAAGTGCAGAGGATTTAAGTCTTAATTAAATTATGCCAATAATATTAATACATTAAGTGTCATAAAGTATCTCTACCAACATTGTATCAGCACAATTCCAAGTATTCTGAATGCAATGGAGAGATTTAGAAAAACTTATTTAATGGTAACAAGTGTGGTTGTTGTAATTACCTTATTAATAAAAATGAGTGGCAGAAACTGGTCTAATTAATACTCTGATCTTAACTGAAGTTACTCTTTTTAAAAGTAGACCACTACTTAAATTTAAAACTCTTAAACACTTAGTTTCATTCAAAAGTTAGTTTCATAAAATAGGTGAGAAAACAAAGTTTGAAGAGTATGCTATATTGATTTTTTTCAATAAAGAGGATATGAATTCCGTCTCAAGTCCTGATAATTCTGTTGAGTATAATAAAAATTCTCTGTAGAAATAGCATGCAATTTATGAATTACATAACTATGTCTTTTTTTGTGTGTGTATATATATGTGGCATTTCATGCTGATACGGGAAAATACTAGCAGAAGTATTAAAAGAACTACCTGTTAAAAGGCAGTCACGTATGATATTATCACTGCTGTCAAATTAACTGTATTTTCTATGGTACTCATCACGCTGTTTCTTAACATCCTGATGATTGTGCATCAGGCACATCATGACTAATCAGGAAAAGGATTTTCACACCCTTTCTTCTTGCCCCTACTTGTTCAGGCAGAGACACCAACTTCTAGCAACATCAACTGTGGTGTCCGATGACAGCAAAGAATGTTGCTAGGAGGCCCAAAAAATTCTTTGGCTGTAACTTCCCTCTCGAGTCAGCTGCTGTGGCAGTTTTCAGAGTTGCCATCTTATAGCCAGATTTTTTTGCACTTCAGGATTGTGGCCTGTTGCAGCGTTCCTCTTTGACTTCAGACTCCTCCTACTTTGTGGAGTTTCTTTCAAAGTCAGTAAGGAATTCAGCCCCATCTCTCACCATATCACTAGATTATCTATTTATTTACAGAATTTTTTTTTCATCAGTAAAATGTTTTCTTTTTCTCTGCAATGCAAGTTGAGTCATGATCAGTGTTTCCTTAATTGTTTTAAGCAAAAGAGTTTTAGTATCATACTGTCAGACTGTGGGTAGAGAGAAGTTATGGGAATCAGATTTGACCTCATTTTTAGGATATCCTCCCCGCCCTCCCCCGGTAACTCCAGAAGGATTTTTCCACATAGAGCTACATGGCTGAACATATGAACAGTAGACAGCATGTGAGAGGAGCCAGCCGGCTTTTCTTTGCTTGGGGCAAAAACTGCACTGAAAAGGGTCTCTTCTGCTGCTGAAGTAGACTAAACCATCTGAATGTTGGCTTTTTTTTTTGCCCCCCACAGCTGCATACTGAACATCAGTAATGCATGGATATGCTTCCTTCATGGTGTTTGTAAAGTTTCACTGTAACTTTCTTCTGCTATCCACTAACTTTACTCTGTGGTTCTAAATATTTTGCAGTGATCATTGTTTGCCTGTTTTGCAGATGACTTATACACTGGCTATCGTTCACAGTGCTGAAGCATTATTGCCACTTTATTTTGCTTAGCTAACTTCTGTTGTTTAGCATTATTTTCTTTTTCTGTCAATGATGTTTTGTGAAGAAGTTGAACGTCTTTCAGGAAGTCCAGCTAATCTGCTGACCAGCTCTCTTTTTCCAATATTTTATTAATAGGCTCTTAACCCAGTATTTTATTGGTAGGTTTGAAGAATACTGAAGTTTAAATGCATTACTCTATTTTCAGGATGCTACTGGGGTTTTTTGTTGGTTTTTTTTTGTTAGTTTTTTTAATAATCATTTCTGTTTCATAATATTATTTTTACTTGCAAATTTGTCGTGGTTTAACCTCAGCTGGCAACTGAGCCACCACACAGCTGCTTGCTCACTCTCCCTGCCCCCTGCCCCCGGTGGGATGGGGGAGAGAATCAGAAGAGTAAAAGTGAGAAAACTCGTGGGTTGAGATAAGAACAGTTTAATAGTTGAAATAAAATAGTAATAATAATAACAAGAATAATAAAAGAATATACAAAGCAAGTGATGCACAGTGCAATTGCTCACCACCTGCTGACTGATGCCCAGCCAGTCCCTG